AGTGAACACGTCGACCAGCACGTGTGACAGGGGTCTTACTGGTGACGGTAGGAGAATCATCATTCGCCACTGGAGGTGAGGTAGTTGAGTCTGGACAAGGACTAGGTTCAGTGGGGCTATTTGATTGAGCCGATGGGGAGGGTGAAGGTTCTTCAGTGTATGCCGCTTTAAGTCTGTCTATGCTGACAGTGTCTGGGCGGCCGCATCGGTCAATAACGAAAAATTTATCTTTACGACTAAGGACCTTAAAAGGCCCGTCATACGGTGGTTGTAATGGCTTTCGTATGGCGTCGTGACGCACGAAAACGTGTGTACAGTCATCAAGTCGCCGATCAACCTGAACCTTTCGGTTCTGAGTGCGTGTGGAAACTGGTCGGAGTCGCTGCATAAAACTTTTAAGTTGCTGAGCGTAACGGGTGGTATCGGGGAAATTTGGCTCGAAAGTTTCGGGAGCGATTAGCTCGCCTGGTAAACGCATGGTGGTACCGTACACCAATTCAGCTGGCGAGCACTGCAGATCCCCCTTAAGCGTAGCCCGGATGCTAAGCAGGACCAGTGGTAGCGAATCTGTCCACTTACTGTTGTCCACTGCCATCAACGCAGCTTTGAGTTGACGGTGGAAACGTTCTACTAGGCCATTTGCCGCAGGATGATACGCGGTTGTGCGAATGCGTTTGCATCCCAGCATCTCTAACAATTCTTTGAAGCTTGTGGATTCGAATTGTTGTCCGCGGTCGGTAGTGACAGTTGCGGGACATCCAAAATGGGCAACCCAGCCTTCCATGAAGGCACGACAGACGGTTTGAGCCGTTACATCTTGTATCGGAATGGCTTCCGGCCAACGTGTGAAACGATCCACACATGTGAGTAAATACGAGCAGCCGTTAGACGGGGGCAGGGGCCCTACTATATCCAGGTGGATATGATGGAACCGAGCGTCTGGGGTCGCAAACGTCCCCAACGGCGTGATGTTATGCTTGGTGACTTTAGCACGTTGGCATTGCACACAAGCACGTGTCCATTGACGCACATCACGGTTCATACCGGGCCACGCAAATCTCGCAGAAATCAACTTGTCCGTTGCTCGTATGCCAGGATGGGAGAGGTTGTGGAGTGACTCAAACACAGTTCGGCGTAAAGACGTGGGAACAATCGGTCGAGGAGTACCAGTTGACATATCGCAAAGTATAGTTGCCTCACTGTTTAGCAAGGGGACGCGTTCTATCTTCAGTGAGGTTTTATTTGACAGGTGTTCTAAGTTCAAATCGTTCAGTTGGAGTTCGGCCATTTTATGAAGATCGATGGTTGGTGGTACGGACGTAGCACATACGCGAGACAAAGCGTCTGCTACCGCGTTATCCGATCCAGAAACGTGCTGGATATCAGAAGTGAACTGGGAAATATAGTCTAAATGGCGTGATTCTCGCGGTGAATACCGGTCTGAAGTAGTGTGGAGGGCGTACGTCAATGGCTTATGGTCGGTAAATACCGTAAATTGCCGGCCTTCCACGAAGTGACGAAAATGCTTGACAGCAGCATAGACAGCGAGAAGTTCCCTACCGAATGTGCTGTATCGAGATTCGCATGCGGTAAGTTTACGTGAAAAGAAAGCAATCGGTAGCCATACATTAGCCATACGCTGTTGTAGGACGGCTCCGATCGCAGTATTAGAGGCATCTACGGAGATGCTGATTGGAAGTTGAACATCTAGATGGACCAACATTGTGGCGTCAGCAATAGCTTTCTTGATAGCTGCAAAAGCTGTCGAGGCTTCCTTAGTGAACACCAAAGACTTGCATTTCCCTTTAAGCATATCAGTCAAGGGGGTCACGATATGAGCACACTGTGGGATAAAGCGACGGTAGTAACTAACCATCCCGAGAAAAGTGCGTAGTGCCTTGGGAGAAGTGGGTAGAGGGAAGTTTTGAATAGCTTCTACCCGGTCAGGTAACGGATAAATTCCATCTTTGTCTATCCTATGTCCCAAAAAATTCAGGGAAGTGACTCCAATCTGACACTTCGGCAAGTTGAGTGTGAGGGAGTGTGTCACAAGTCTTCGGAAAACTGTCTGCAAATGAAGTTGATGAGTGGCTTCATCTGGACTAGCTACCAAGATATCGTCCAGATAGGCAAAGGCGAAATCAAGCCCGCGCAAAACGTCATGTATAAAACGCTGGAAGGTTTGGGCAGCGTTCCGTAAGCCAAAAGGCATTCGAAGAAACTCGAACAGGCCAAACGGTGTAATCACAGCAGTCTTAGGTATATCCTCGGGGTCGACGGGAATCTGGTAGTAAGCCCGTGTAAGGTCCAGTTTGCTGAATACTCGAGCTCCCTTGAGTGAGGCGGTTAAATCGTGTATGTGAGGGACAGGGTAGCGATCGGGAACAGTTTGTGCGTTTAGTCTGCGGTAGTCGCCACAAGGACGCCAATCTAAACCGTTATTCTTAGGTACCAGGTGCAACGGTGAGGACCACGGGCTGCTGGATGGCCTAATAATCCCCATTTCTAGCATATGCTCAAACTCCGCTTTGACAACCTTTAGTTTTTCTGGGGATAGTCGCCTCGGCTTTGCGAAAACTGGCGGGCCAGTAGTGACAATATGGTGTGTGACGTTGGAAGTCGCACATGGCAGGCCGCTGCTAGGTTTGAACAAATCTGAAAAAGACTGCAGTATATGCGAATAAGGACCAGTGCTAGTGGGTGTGGCATATACAGGGCTGAGGGCTGGGCCTTGTGTGACGATACCGCTGACGGAGAGGTTTGTGACAGGATCTCTTAACTTATGATTACCTGTATCTACCAGTAATTGGTAGTGCTGCAATAGATCCATGCCAATTATACCTGTGGTAACGTCTGCCACCAGGAAGACCCAACGAAGTGAACGACGCAAACCGATGTTAAGATCTATAAAGCGCCTGCCGAACGTAGCAATTGGCGAACCGTTTGCGGCTCGTAGTTGAAGAGACATTGGCCGCCTGCGCTCCTCTACTGTGGGTGGGATTACACTGACCTCTGCTCCGGTATCAATTAGGAAGCGTATCCCAGTGTTACGGTCGGTAACATAGAAGAGGCGACATGAGAGCGGTTCGCCAGCGACGTTAGTCGCCAGTACGTGCTGGCTTGCTAGTTTCCCGATTGTTGAACATCGAAGGTGCACGGGCGAGTGCACTTTTGGGCTTTTGCTCCGTAACGTCGATGATACCAGCACACTCCAGGCTGGTTACTTCGGGACTGTCGGCGCTTGCTGCCAGCACGTGACAAGGGTCTACTACTACGCGAACTCGAGGGACTGCGTGTACGACTCCTGGAGTTCATCTCCTGTCGTATACTACAGATCTCCTCGTATAGCTTGGCTATATGGGCCACCGCGTCAAAGCTTGATGACCCCCCGTCAGACGAATCTTTAGTCTGAGCGGGAGCAGCAGTTACTGTTGCGGAAATGCCAATTTTGGGATTGATGGCCTCTACGGCTCTATCAGCTGCCTCGGCTATCTCCTGTAAGGGGTACTTGTAGATCGGTGCTAAGATACCCTGGACTGCCTGAGGTAATCTTTGAAGCCAAAGTTGTTTGAGAAAAACCTCGTCAATTTTAAAGTCCGCCACCAGCTGCTTCATCTGCCTCAACATTTGTGAGGGCTTGCGGTCACCTAACTGAACATCTCGGAAAAGTTCCTGCACTTTCTGTTGGTCAGTAAGTGCGACTCGTTGAATTAACGCCTGTTTGAGCCGCTCGTACCGATCCGGAGACGGATCTGCGAGAACGTCAGCCACCTCGTCTATGACACTTTCAGGCAGGCTCACAATCACGTGGTTTACTTTGGTCTCTTGTGAGTGTATGTGTCTAATGGCAAACTGAGCCTCTATATGATTAAACCATGCAGCTGGACGATGTGTCCAGAAGGCGGGGAGTTGCAGCGTTATAGCCATCTCTGACGCAGAACCGTTGTCAGCCATCTTGCACACAAGACAAATATTAACAAGGTGATAAAAAACCAATATAAGTACAAACAAAACAAATCAAATCTTTATAACCGTGCGTGAAAGAAAAAAAATAACAAAATAGACGGTACGTAAAAAGAATTGTTAACACGTTAAGCTACTATGGCGGAAAACGGTGAAAACGGGCTCACCACTTGTAAGTGTTGAGGTTAGACTTAAGATAGTCTTCGATATCACCACACTTACTAAAAACTTCACCGTCTTATGACTTTACCAGTACTCTACCTAACGTGTAAGTACTGATTAACTCAATCAAAGTTTAAAAGCTAACAATGGAAAGAATTCTTAGTATGAGTTGTATTTAACGTAACTGAATAACAGATTTAATAAATAAAGTGACTGTACAACTTATCTGCAGACGTTGCTGGAGGTAGGCTCGGAGAGTGTGCAAAAAGAGAGCACAACAAGAGAGCGAACCAATGAACGTACGGAAGACTCCCAACTCAAAAGATAAAAAGTCTATCACCGTGGGTGAGCGAGTTCAAACAAAAGTTCAAAGGTACAATGTGCACTACAAATATGTGAACAAGGAAGGGATCAATTGTAGAATCAGAAAGATTGGTCCATATATTCTATAATAGACTTGAAGAATCTCAGAACTTCCGATTTATCTTTCAAAGTTTGTCTTTTGCAAAATGCAAATATTACACAACTTCTTGCCTCAATCCGTTATAATCAACTGAAAAGACTGAATCTTCAAACTTTATACTTTTGTGGTGAAGTTACCCAATAATATTCTTATTTTAGGGGGTCCACATGTATATCACATCTGTAAAATTTATAAATACGTTAACTTGTCTCCTTAAACTGAAAAAATGTAATGTTTATGCGACTTTTATTACTATCATTTCAAAGCCCGCCTCAGTAACGTGTGCTACGTATTAGCCGCAGCGTTTATGCAAAGTAAAATCTACCAATCACCATATGCATACGTGACCTTGAAGTGCTCAGCCTCTCCGTAAGGTCGTGTGTGCCTCTATCCATTGCCTCCATTGCCTACAATGCAGGAGATAAATTTTCAGGACATAAGTTTAGAATGTGGGTCCACGTGTACTACATCTGCATCTGTAATTTCAGCCTTGGGATCACAAAATCGGAAACTTTTTGTTGGCTCTTCTAGTGTTTCTGGTGCGTAAGTCTTTGTATTGTGGTCTTGCTCGCTTTAAATGATTATTATGTGGCAAATTATCTACAGTAATCCGCTTTAATTCATCAGGAACCCAGTTTCTCATTAAAAACCTTTACTGAGGCATTTGGTGACAACTTTATCGTTGGTTATTGTATGAGGATTTGTACGTCGCATGATATCATGCGACTTACATATGGCTTATTTACAAAGAAGGGTCAGCACTAATCCGTAATTTAGTCGAAATGTTTGCTTGGCACACGATATTTCACTTATATTAACGCTTTTTCAGTCTCAAGAGCTCGAAAATGCATGGTTATTCCGTAGTAAGTTCTGTTAATGAGTGTAAACATTGCTTGCGTGCTAACTTCAGATTCAGATGGTAAGGATAGAAGGCTTTTGTGGCCTGTGTTAATCACTGTGTTGCCTTCCATGAAGCACATACTGTCAGTGTGGCTACAGTACAGTAACAGGGGCTTTCATGAATAATCCCTAGAGGTATGGTCTCGTCTTTCTGTCCCAAATGTTTTCTTATCAAGGTAGTTGAGGGTGCCATGGAAATTCCAAAACCCGTAAATTACGTTGGCGTCAGTTGCATTACAAGACATTGTTGTATTCAAACCATAACTAAAGATAATCTTGTAGTCCCTTTGTTTTCTAACGTCGGCCAAAAGTTTTCCTAATTGACAATGTATTCACTGCTCGTCATCTTTCATATTTTGAAAGTTCTGGCATCCCCCAGCTAGCACTTTTTTCGGGCTTATTGCAGACTTTTTGGGGCATACTTCGGGGCACTGTCCCACGTAAGTAGATCTACCCGAAGTTTTTGCCCCTAAAAGTCTGCGATGCGCCCGAAAAAATGCTAGCTGGGCCTCGCCGTCCTTCACCCAATAATGCTTTTCGTCTCTTGTATTTACATCACATTCCTTTTCTCTACTTCCATGTGCTTTCAAGAATTGTAGCAACTCCAGTTGATATAGTCTTGTACAAGGTCCAATGTTGATAATTCAGTTCATCTTGTTGCCCTTAGCCTTAACCCAATCTGTCATTAAGCTTGCCAAACAGAAGTATTCTGCTTACGAGCCATATATATTATCCTTTGTTTTTTAATATAATAATGACTTATTATCCCGTACCTGTAAGAATATTGAGCATTGTCCTAACGAATTGCCTTAGAGTTTTTCTAAACTCATGTAAAGGGGTCTATAGGAAAGTCTTTTGGGTGTTGACTGATGACCGAAGGCTGTTGTTTTGCTTTCAGATTTTTTTTTTGAATTTCCTCCAAACCTTTTCTGAAGTCATCTGAACTAGATACACACTGCTGCATCGTTGGTTGCCGTTGCTGAGTCATTAATATTTCACCCTAATAGGTAGGAGTCATCCCACATTAGCGATGAATTCATTTAGGGATCTACATGTAATTAGTTTAAATATGGTGAAATGGTATTGTGATTTGTCGTGCATTACGTTATCCTTTTGTCTTTGATAGTGCTGACTTATTATATAAATAGGACAACTTACTATTTTCTCATAAGTTTTTTTTCAGGATGAAATTATTGCGTTTGTCTATTGTTACTGAATATTAGATGCGCACTAGTTCACTTGACGATGAATCACACCTGTTTCGTGAGAACTAATTATATATATATATATATATATATATATATATATATATAATATTATTTAAGTACCCTAACCTTGGTGGCTAGAGTAGGGGTGTGAACTCTAGATATTAGCTGAAAGCTAATCTTTAATTAATGATACATATGACCTACGTCTTAGTCCTGACTAATAAATAGTAAGCTGTGGCAACGTCTGGGCAAAAGATTTCAATCGGGGGATGCGACTTAAACTTTAAATAAACAACTTTCGATCAAATTAAAATTTTTGTCATACAGCGTCGATTTAACATAGTTGAACGTTCATCCATTGTTAATATTGACAGTTGAAAAGTATTTTTACCAGGTTTACTAAGCTATGTTTCAAATATTTAACAGATGTAGTAAACCTTGTTTATTTTTGTTTATTGTTTTTCCTCTGTTTTCTAAATCAACACTGCGTGTTCTTCTTTGCGTAACAAGTTGGCTGTGGTAATAACTGGTTTTTTAAACTGTAGATAGTTATCAGAAGCAAACCACTTTAAGCTATCACGATGAGACTGAAAAGAGTTTATCAGTAATCCTAATAATATTCAACCTCCTAGATAAATGTTTCCACGACAAGTTTAATCTTGATTTAAGAAGTCTACTAAGGTGGCGACTGGCGAATAAGAAAATCTTCTGAAGGGTGTTGATTTATCGTTAGTTCGTTCAGTCATGAGAGTTTCCGTTAGTCTTGGTTTAAATCAAACTGCTAAAATAGTTGCAGAAGTCGTCTCTTTCTCAGTTTGCCGAATCTAAAAGGAATCAAATCAGGGATTTCACTAGTCACTGGGACTGCAAATAACAGGGGAGCTCCGTCTTAAAAAGTACTCTGGATGTTTATCATTCTCTAATAGTATTGAAAAATAGCTATTGATATGATTTCAGATAGTCGAATCAATAACATTGGTTTACCACAGTAATTTGAGAATGAATTTTCTGGTAAGTAATCTGAGTATTTCCCTGTCTTTCTCTCCCTTTTCTGTTCATGAACAATTTGTCACTATATTTTGTCATAAAGGCTTATTATTAGTGTGATCTCGCGTCATTACTAAGGTAACTCCCCGAAATGTTTGTAAAAGCTGCCATACTCATATTTTGCCTATCGTAGGAGACCTATGGGTTGGTGGTTTGTCCGTTTACAAATTGAAGAATTCCTCAACAAATTACCTTGGTCAAGTTATTCATGCGGATGAGTTAGAATTAGTTGACGATATCAGTCAGCAGGTTGTCACAGAGACTACTTTTGACTCATCGGTTGCATCAGTATCACCTTTAAATTCAAAAGGGAATGAATCAACAGACTCAGTCATCGTTGGCCTTAATGATGGTTCTATTCAATTGGTTACTTTACGTGAGAAATCAGTCAATCAAAGCTCTCACCATTTTCAAATGCAGGTATTCGAATTCATTGGTTTTTCCTTAAATAGTAATTAATTTACTATATTTGATATATTCATTAGAGGTTGTAGGGTCCTTTTGTCCATATTCGTGTATAGGAAGCAAAGCATTTACCTTCCTTTCATTAACATTTTTATAATTTTTGTGGTACTGAATCTGCCTTAATCATATTATTTTCTGTTTATTGTGAGTAAGCTAGTGGTTTTCGTTAGGATGTCAACCTCCGTAACATCGTTGAATTTATTATAAAATACACCCTTGACGAACTAGCATTAAAACTTCACGGGATATTCTATCATGGATGTACCAACGTCGTCAAAGGATGATCTGGTCAATCAGTGCTCAATATTTTAAGTTGCCACACCTCATAATATGAACATCAAGTAAAAGGTAATGAAAAAGGAGTGAAAAAATATCGTCTCAGTGTTATTGTAAGACAAAAAGTGATTGCGTCAGCAGGTGAGAAAAAGTGTAGTAATACAATTGCCAAAAAGCAAAGGTGTGAATGTATCTTTTCCACTACAATGCACCACTTATATTGTAAAAATCACAACTCACTGTAATCACGTGTACTTAAGCCAGAGAACTTACGATGACCTATAGTAACTTCGTGGTCAATTAGTTATACTGGTATTTGCTCGAAATATTACTAAAATTACAAAAAAGGTTATCACTGTATGTAAGCAGCTATCGAAATATAATTAGCAATATAATTATTTGATATGGATTTTGCAGATGATTTATGTTTAATGTCCCACAAACCCGAAGACGAAAAACAACAAGAGGCGAACAGCGAAGACAGGACTCCAAGTGAACATGGAGAAGACGGAGGTGATGAAGATAACCAATCGACAACAACTAGTCACCATCAACGGGAGAGATTTAACAGAGGTTGCCTTCTTCACTTATCTGGGAAGCATCGTTTCAACCACAGGCGGAACAGACGAAGATGTCAAAGTCAGAATCGGAAAGGCAAGATACGCCTTCATCAACCTGAAACCAGTTTGGAAATCTTCTGCACTCAGCCAGCATCAAGAACAAGATTCGAATTTTCAACACAAATGTGGGGTCAGTTCTTCTATACGGGTCAAAAACTTGGCGTGTCACAAAAAAAAATTTCCGACAGGCCGCAGACTTTTATCAACAGCTGCCTTCGCTGGCTCCATACTGAAGATCAAATGGCCAGCCAGAAAGAATAAGCAATAAGAAACTATGGGGAAAAACCAACGAAGAGCCGATCGCTCAACAAATATGTCGGAGAAAATGGAGATTGATCGGGTATACATTGGGGAGGCCGCCGAATGACATCGCACGCCAGACCTTCGAGTGGAATCCCAATAGGAAGCGACGAGTGGGTCGTCCGAGGGTGACTTGGATAAGATCGTGCGAGGAGAAGATGAGAGATTTTGAGCAATCGTGGACCCAGCTGAAGAGAACAGTAGATAACAGAACAAAGTAGAGGTGTGTTGAGGCCCTATAATTCCCTTGGAACTCAAGGGGATAGTTATAATAAATAATTATTTGATCTATTCCGTAATGCACAAACTGTTCACAGGCATTAACTTCATGGTTTTTGTTTGGTTACCCGTAACTTTCTTCCAACTTTTGTCAACGTAGCATATTAAAGTAAATGATTAGGAAGTTTACGTTATATGTGCTACCTAGCTAGCTCAGCCAGTGTAGGTTCGTAAGTTCGTCGGCCAACCCCTAAATCGTATATAAAATGTCTTAATTAGCTTGTCTGGGACTGTACCAGAAACTTAGGTATTAGAGATATGGATGACTTACTTGCGAGGTACCTGTTTAAGCAAAAAGATCTTCACAAACTTTAGTGTTGATTAGTGTTAGACAAATTAAAGAACCCATATTAATGTCCCCGGCCGACAACAGCTACCTTGTCGTGGTGGCAGGGTTTGAATACTGCGGTGATCCAAGAAGCTAATCTGGTTGTGACTTGTGTTTCTGCAGGTACCACCATGTCAGGAAAGTTGTTTCGACAGCAGTTAGACTAAAAGCAGTTACTATGGGTACATGGGCTCCAGAATCCAATCGGATCAAATGGCGTGTCAAACTGAATTGGTCACCGCCAGCCATGGGAACGTAGCTTGTGACGCTGCTCCGCTGCTTTGCGGATTAGACACTAAGTCAAAGGTTTGGGGGAGATGATCCCCTAAGACAACCACCTGCTTCGGTCTGGGCGCCCAAACAGTATCTCAGCACTCACAATCAACGAAATAAAACAATGAACTGTCAGTGAAACTAATTGAACTCTCTTAACAATGCCCTCGAACATTAGTGATGTTTCAAGTATTTTTTTTAGATTCATATATATACTCCTGTGTTTTACTTTTGCTATTCTTGGCGTCTTCACTTTTGTCAGCCTTTCACCTTTGTCGGAATTCCCAGCCCATCTCTACCGTTTCGAGATGTTAGTGAGTAGCCTTCAAAATAATAGTCCTCAGTGCGACATCTAACACATATCCTGGGACCGTGTGCAGTGTTCAAGTTTACCACCTACAATGTTTGGACACTGTTGCGAATCGGACAACAAGCAGGTTTGATAAGAACATTGGGAGGCCTCGATATCGATGTCTGCTGCGTTTCGGAGACCTACATCCAAAATTCCAGTGAAGTGCCTCGATCATCCTCTCCATCTGGAAGTTCGAATAATTTGTGCCACCTGCACTTGTCTGGGAACCCTATGGCGTTGGCATCCAGCGTAGCTGGTGTCTGTGTCACACTAAGCCCTAGAGCCGAAGCTGCATTACTCGACTAAATCCACACTAACAGTCGTTTATATGCAGCGACGGATTGCAGCCAGGATGTAATGAAGGATGAATTTAACTACCAGCTGAGGAATCACTTGAAACAGGCACGTCAGATGGGTATCGTAGTTCTGGTCGGGGACTTGAATGCACAGGTCAGGCGTCTAAGCTCAGAGGAGAATAGTCTAGGTGGTCAGTGGGGTTTCCATGGTCGCAGGTCAGATAAAGGGGACTGCCTTCTGCAGTTTTGTTCAGATCACGACACAACCGTCGCCGTCGTGCTACCTGGAGCCATACTTTTGCGAATCAAGTTTGGATTTAGATTGATCATACTTCTGTCAGTTTCCTGTGGAGAACATGCATACCATGCTGCCGCTCCTATTAAAGCACATGCCTAAACTCATCATGCGTTAGTGTATGCCAGGTTCGTCTTGCGATTTGGTGGGGTTCATAAAAGGCGTCGTCTAAACGTTGATGTGAGCAAATTAGTAGCACCTGCTACCTCTTTGAAATACCAGGATGAGTTACAATCACTGCTTGCTAGCAACTCCCCAAGTAGTATAGATGAAAATTGGCCTCATCTTCAAGACACCATGCATATGACGAATGTAGTCGTTTGCAGCTTAAAAGAATGCTCCGCTAAAAACCACTGGGTTTCTGCAAGTTCTTTGTAACTCCTGCATGAACTCTGGCCCATTACGACTGGCAGCGAATACAACAATATGAGAAAGGCGCTTACGCGCGAGATTAGACAGTTTTACGTAAGGACCGCGAAGCCTGGTGGTCAGACACATGCGTGTGGGATGGAGTCAGCTGACAGTTGGAAGCTGTCACAGCTTATCCGAACTACCGGTAGCAAAAAATAAGGTGTCAGCGAGATGGTCTGCGAGGCAGATGGCACGCCAATTACCAGCATGTAAAGACCATAAGTGTGTCAGTCTTCTACCAGTTGCGTCCAAAATAATGACTGCTGCTTTGCTTCTCAGGCTGTGCAAAACATGTGATGGATTGATTCGCAGAAACTAGGCTGGATTTCGTTCAGGCCGTGGATGCATTGACCATGTGTTCGCCCTTCGTTAGTTGTCGGAACACCACCACACGTATTGCAGGCCAACAGTCGTTGTGTTTCTTGATATTAGGGGTGCCTTCGATTTGACAGGTCAGTACAATCAGCTTTTGAGTTTCGTACCTTTGAAATATAAACGTAACCTGGTGGTGTCTGGTTCATACAGCTAGGTTAATCTGTTCAGACGAGTGCCTCAATGAGGAGCTTAAGATTATTAGAGAATTAATTAGAAAAAATGTTTATCCAGATAAATTCATTGAGAAAATTATGAATTCAGCACCTAGGAAATTCAGTATAGCAACAGTTCCGTAAAAATCACTGTTCATAAAACTGCAGTTCCTCGGTGATAACATCAGCGAAATAATAACACAGCACCTGAAGAATGCAGTTAAAAGAGCTTATCATGCAGCAGAGGTACGTTGTCTCCTCACAACCGCCTTATTCTACGTTCAAGAAATTTTTTTTTGATTAAAGCTTGATTCCACACTGTATTTTTGTTACAAGTATGGAGTTTTCAGCATGGATATCGGTAGCCCAAATTATGCAGGCCGACCATAGATATCAGGTGTGCTTCGGGAGGGGATCGAACCTCGGACCATATGCATGGTCGGCGAGAGTCCTAACCACTGTGCCACCGACGCACATGTTATCATTTGTGAGTGGAAACGTCAGACCGACCGAAAGCTGCTACCTTGACGTGGTGGTCGGGCTTGAACACCGCAATGACCTAATCAAGCTATACTGGCTGAGGCTTATGTCTCTTGAGGTTCTACCATGCCAGGCAGGTTGTTTGGATAGCGGTTAAACAAAAAGCAGCTACCCAATCCAACATCATGATCAATACAAAATCACAAAATTTCATGCCGGATCGGCCGTGGCCCGGATTAACAACGACCGCGCTTCCTGCTGCCGTGTCACAGGGCAGGAGTGATAAGTATGTTACTGAGACACACCAAACAAAAGAGAACAAGCAAAAACAGGCCGCGTGTGACCGGCCTCAAGAAGTTGTCCCCTGGGCTCTGCGGTCACGTAACCAACTTCCACGGTGTGGGCAGCCGGGAAGTAACAATCGCCCTCACAATCCGAAATGCACACGAAACCTCTCTAATCCTCACTTATCTTTGTCTTCATCATCTCTATTACCTTGCCTTCCTCCCACTGATGCA